GCGAGACGGCGTGGTTGTAGGCTATCTCCGCGTGGGCAAGATGGAGATCCCACTACTGGTCGTCACGAACAATCTTTCGGAGAATATCCCCGAGAGTCTTGTTCGTGATCTCGGTCTGACCATCAGTCTGAGGATGGTAAGACGAGGAGAAGCGGAGCTGAGTGCCGTACACCTCGTGGAGCCGTCGCCAGAATCGGCTGGTAAAGCGCGGGTCACGGTCATATATGATGCTCAGAGGTAAGCCGTGGTCACGCACGACTCGGTCAAATACGATGTCGGCGACCTCACGTGCACTGATGGCGTAGCGGCACGGAACAAAGCGTGCACGCTTTGTGAAGCGGTCGACAACGACCAGGATAGCATCATGACCGCGGGGGGTCGGAGGTCGAAGAGGACCGATAAAGTCCATCGAGATGGACTGCCAACGACCCTTAGGGATAGGAAGAGGCTGGAGCAAACCATAAGGAAGGTGGTTCGCACTGTTCACCTCCTGACAGGTGGGACACTCTGCGACGTAGTCCTTCACAAAGTCCTTGCGCTTCGGCGTGACGTACAGGCGGCTCACACGCGCCAACGTCTTGTGGAAGCCCATATGACCGGCAGCTGCCTGGTCATGGAACTCTGCTACTGCTCGAACACGTAGCTGTCCAGTGGAGGGAAAACAAATGGGCTCTCTGGTGCCCTGTGAACCGTGCCAGTACACAAGACCGTTGTCCCCGAGAGAGTAGTTCGGGACGGTCTTGCCACTCCAAAGGGTTGCGTGGATGTCGCGATAGTCGGGGCAGTGGCGGTTCTGAGTGCGAAACTCGTCGATCACCGAGTGGTGGACGGTGCTGACCGAGATGGAATAGAGTTGGATGTGCTCCTGGTCGTGGTCAGGGCGTCGGGATAGGGCATCGGCAACCCGATTAGTCTCACCCTTGATGTGCTCAGTGGTGAAACTAAACTCGGATAGGTCGCGCCACCAGCTAGCCTGTCGAGGAGTGAGCTTCGGCTTTGTCAGAAAAGCCTGGACAACAGAGTTGTCCGTGCGCACCATGAATGGTGCCCCGTGCAGGTAGTGGCGCCAATGCCGAGCGGCATAAACTACTGCGAGAACCTCACGTTCATCAGCAGTGTAGTTTATCTTGGCGGGCAAGAGCTGATGGGAGTAGAAGGCTATCAGACAATCACCTGAGCGAGACTCGACAGTGCCGTCCTCGACGATGGTAGGAGAATAGTCAATAGAAGGCTCGTCAGTAGCTGGACGAGTAGGCGTCAGTCGGGAAGCAGTGGTAGGGGTAGGTGGTAGGAAGCGAGGGATACGAGGATGAGAGGAATCAGGAGATGAGGGGAAGACCTGAGAAAACACTGCTCCTACAGCGAAGTCTGACGCATCGGTGGTAAGGATAAAAGGGCGGTCAAAATCGGGTAGGTGAAGAACCGGTGCGCATGTCACCGCCTTCTTGAGGGCGCGGAAGGCGTCCTCGTGGAGGCGTGTCCAAGCCCAGGGTGGGTTCTTCCGAAGGAGGTTGGAGGTAAGGACGTAGGAATACCTAGCGTATCCCCGGATGAAGTTACTATAATAGCTGGTCAGGCCTAGGAAGCTGCGAAGCTGCTTGGCGGATGTGGGAGCGGGCCACTCCACAATAGCAGTGATCTTCGCATCGTCCATATGGAGACCCTGGTCAGACACGTAGTGTCCTAAGAAATCCACTTTGTGCTGGGCAAAGCGGCACTTGCTTAGCTTGGCGTAGAAGCCATGTCTGCTCAAGCGGTCAAGGACGTCGCGGAGGTGTCTGAGGTGCTCCTCAAGGGTACGACTATAGACCAGGATATCGTCGAGGTAGACGAGAACGTACTGCTCCAGGATGTCCCGGAAGATGTCGTTCATCACCCTCTGGAAGGTAGCGGGTGCGTTGGTGAGGCCGAA